ACCGACCGGTAACCGAAGAATTACGAGCCATACCGACACCGTTTGACCCTATCTTCATCGATCTTCCGATAGACTGGTTTTGATTGATCCGTTTGCCTTCGTCGATCGAAATGAAATAATGGCGTCGCGGAAGTGTTTATCTGACAGTGTTATCTTTCCTTCTTTTGCAACAGCTTTTTGGCAAGTTTGAATGTTTTATAAACGCGTGATGGACGCGTTTAATTTTTTATATTTTTTTTGTTCTTGCTTTTGCTTTTTAATGACGGTTTTGGAACGATAGTTGTATTCATTATGGATTAGATTTGTTGATAAAATTGATAGAGAAATCATTCTTTGATTGACCATATAATGGAAAAATTTGGAGAATTTGAAAATTTGAATTTGGTAAAATTTTGTATTGGAAAAGATGAAATATAAATAATTGAAATAAGTATAGTAGGAAGTAATATTCATATTTATTTATTTCAATAAATTCAATTATATAAATTATGAATTTTTGCGAATGTGGATATCATAAATTTCAGCTTGAATTATTACTTTTTGTTTCTAAACTTGATTTGATGCCAGCGATTTAACTATAATATCATCAGTATGCGTTCAAAGGTTATTCATTGCACCGAAACGTGATTAGACTATAAATCCTGATGAGCATTAATCCACATTCGATAGCTATTGAATATATAAATCAATTTATTCAATCAAACTATCTCATAATCCTTGTTTATCGTATTTTCTCTCTTTATATGTACATTAATTCCATCTATAGAATATTCTATTTTTGAATTAATAATTTCAATATCATTATATTATTTACTATAAAGAGAACTACGGTATCAAACAAGGCATTAATTTCGATCGTGAAAATAATAATAGCAAAAATCTTGAAACAATATATTCATTTATCAATATTTAAAATATTTATTGTTTCAATTTATAAAAAGTATAAAAATATAATTTTCGATTTTAATCTCGTTTCAACAATTATCAATAATTAAAAAGCAAACCCAAGATAAACTTCTTTATTCTTATTATCTCATCAAACTCGAAGAATCATCCCTTAGATTTTTGCACACCTCCTTTGTATATACGTGACAAAATCATACTCTTCTCTTAACTCTCTAGCTCAGTGGCTATTCTTTTTAATTTAAAATTACGAGAATGATCCCATTGTCAAATTCAGAAATCCAAATCTTCAAACTCCAGAGTGGATTCCATTGTGTCTGCGCATCGACGAGGGCATCGTGGAACGAGATTAAAAAAAAAAAAAAAAA